GCAGCGTTCTCATCTAGGATTAGTACAAAAATGGCTTACAATTCTGCACGTTCTAAGATCATCTCTCCAGTACCCACCACTATGGTATATACATTATAATTTGGCTTATTCACTTTTCGGTCGTAGCAAGAGCACCGGGATAGTCTTAAATTTTGACTTATGCTATCTTTGGAGTGCTTTAGTGTCAACTTATCAATTTGAGTTTTATGCTCACTTGTTTTATGATATATCAAGTCGAGGACGGCCAGATGCGAGGATAGTCATTTGGGGAAAAAATTGCTATTGGTTCGTATGTTACTCGACTAACAAAGGGCCTTGAAATTTTTTTATAAAAGTATTGAGGAGCCTATCTGCGTCATGATGCCTTGTAGTTTTCGGACACTGCAAATAATGAGTATTGTTAGGAAGGTGACAAATATAGGAGTAGATAGATATAGATAAGTTGATAGGGTTGATGAGCCAATATATAAGGATAACTAGCTTCACGGTGATCAGAGCACATCAGAAGGTGATCAAAGCGCGCCGGAGGGTGATCAACCCCATCGCATGCTTCAAGATATCATATTCACTAATAGGTCAGCCATTGCCGATTTATCCATGAATATGCATCAACGTATAAACGATATGTAAATGGAAGTATATCACTGGATGAACGATATGCGGTTGAAGATGAAATTTTCATTCTCGTATATTTTTCAGCATATCTCCATTTATGTTCCACCAAACAATGACACTCCATATGTACCTACACTGAGACATAAAAACAAAATCAATGACATTGATGCCTTAATTGCAAATCATCCAAACCGGAACAAGAATGACTAGTTTGGATTTTATTTTTTTTCTTATTTTTTGTTTTAAGTATGTAGTTTATTTATTTATTTATTTATTATATATGATTTCTTAACTTAATTTAAAGTATGGTAGATTATTTTTACTAACATTAATTCAAACTTATCAAATTGGTACAATTTAATTATTAACTATATTCACTTCTTTAAATTCAATATCTATCTCCGTTCAGCTCTAAGAGTTTCATTTATTTTTTACGTGTCAATAATTGAATATTAATTATTATATCAAAACATAGTACAAATTAAAAAAAAATTGCAATTTCAATTAGTGTCTTATAATACTAATAGAAGAACATTTGTACAAAAAAATTATACAAATATAAAGATATTTTTAATGTTTAGTATAATAACGCAAAAAATAAATGTGAGCCGCGGATGGAGGAAGTATAATTTTTTTAAAAAAAACAAAAACAAAAACTCTAACGAAACATAATAAAATACGAAGTTTATTAAATAAAAATACGACCATGTTAAATACAAGGTAGAAAACTAAATAAACGACCAAATATGGTCATGTTTTGATATATACACGGCCTTATTTATCGTGGGAATATTGAAGCCAAATACGAATGTACATGGCCATGTTCACGGACACATATGGCTGTGTACATACACCATCCCGGTACATGGTCATAAGAAATTACACAACTGTGTTAAATTTAATTCAACCGTGTTTAGTCTAGATCATCTGTCACATCAACTCTGTTACGTCTACCATAACAAATTTTTGTTGGTTTTTCAACAGTGAGACTAAAATTGATTGAAATTATTTATAATAAAACTAAAATTGATAAGTTGTTAAATTTTTTATATTTGAACTAAAATTGATACAAATAATAATTACATTTACAAAAATAATAGTTGTGACTTGGCGTTTGAATTGCGGATGTCAAAATTAAACCCAATCTGAAAAATCGAACATGTTCCATCTGAAAATTTTCAAATTCGGGTTTAGGTGTTTCGGATTTGCCAAAAAATCCAGCCGATATGTGTACGGGCCGAGTTTCGGGTTAACCTGATAACCCGAAATATAAAAATCAAATCGAATTTTGAATTGACTTAAAAATTAATTTTTATTTCAATTTATTTCAATTTATATAATATTAAATAATATAATATAATTTTTTTAATTACTAAAAAAAAAAAACTAAATTAGATTTTCAGGTTTTTTCCATATCGGGTTTGTTAGAGTGACTTGAAACTAATTGATCTTAAATCAACCATAAAAAATTTATATCGTGTTTGAATCTAAAATTTTAGGTCAAATTTCGAATTTGGCTTAGGTTTGAATTGAAGATTTTTTGTTACACCTATATATCAATCCAACATGAACATCACCCGAAATCACAAATTAAAACCCTCACTTAAAAATAATAAGCATAAGTTTAAAACAATTCAATGTTATGTTTGGATACATTTTTATAAAAATAATTATTCTTTTTAAACAAAAAATACTTTTTTAAACGAGAAATTAAACAAAAAAAAAAAAAAAACTCATGAATATTAAAAAATCATTTATAAAAATAGTAGGATTGACAAGCTATGCCCCCCCCCCCCCCCCCCCCCACCCATATGTTATTCAACATAAATCGAAAAAATAATAAATCAACCCTTCATCACGTGCTGTACCCACTGACATTTATTTTAGCTTCTTTTTCTCTACTGATGGTCCTATCTATGTTATCACAAATATTATTATTATATTACTACCAAGAATTTATTTATGCTATATATATATATATATATGACCTTTATAATTAATATAGAAATACTTATTTATAATTTACATAATAATATTAATAATTTGTCATTTATATAATATAAATATTTTAACTTAAAAATTCAATTGAGTTGGAAATAATTGTATTTATTTAACAATTTTTCCGACAGGATTCTTATTTTTATTAATATTATAAAAAAAACATAATATATTTATATAGAACATTAAAAAAATCAATAATTTAACAAAAAAAAATATTATTTTTATATTACTTTTTTCCATTCATAACAAATACTCTCTTTGTCATTCAAAAATATTTTCAAATTTTATTTTATTTATTTATTTATTTATTTTTATTATCATTCAAATTTATTCATATTTGTTTTTAATAAAAAAAATACTATTTTTCTATTATTTTTTATCTAAAAAATACAAATTTCTATTTTTACCTATTTTATTTTTAAATCTCAAATGAGCACAGAGTAATACCTTAAAACACAAATCACACATATTCTACAAGTTTTGATTAGTATAGTTAAAAGATGAAAATAGTAAAAAACTGATATAATGTAAATAAATATTTAATATAATTTTTTAAATATAAAATAAATATTAATAATATTCAGAATAAAACTATAAGTTTAGTTTGAGGAGAAAAAAAATAAATCCTAAACACACAACGTTGTGAATTGTTATTTAAAAGGGCATTAGATTAGTTAGTGATATCGGAAGTACTGATTTCCTGGTGGGTACCAGTCCCAGTCCCAGGCCCATATAAAAAAAACACGTGCATTATATTATAAGAGCCCAGGCCCATAGAAAAATAAAAACGTGCATATATATTATCAGAGCCCAGGCCCAGATGAAAATAAACACGTGCACATATATATATACGTACAATCATCAGAGCAGAAAGAAAGCAACAGACTGAGAGACAGAGACAGGCAAGAATGGAAGGAAGGACGAGTCGGACTCGGAGACAGACTCACTGCCGCAACCAAACCAATCCACCTCATTATATATTACTATAAGGGTAAATTATGTAACTCTTGCGCCCGTCGGCCCCCGAGCCGGAAGCCGGCAATCCTCCGTTGTGCGCCAGCCCGACGCCCGGAGAGGCATCAAGCTCGCTGGACAGCGCATGTCCTCCCCCGGCTTGAGCGTCCATTGGGCGGCCCATCGTCCAACATATCATTGCCGAATGAGGGGCGATCCGGCACGCCCGCATCGGCCGCTCCCCGACCTAAATATGCACAAACTACCATGTATTTTTATTATTAATGTAAAGCATCTTATTGTACAAAATTGATATTACTTAATTTATATAAATATAAAATATAAAATATTTTAAATATTTTTTTTAATAAAATAAATAAATAATTGATAAATTATTAATTTTATTAAAATCAAATAATAATTTGTCTTTAAAAATTATAAAATAAAGAATTAATTATTTATTTATTTATTTTAAATTTTTTATTTGTATAAAAAATGCGATGTTAATAAAGTTTGCACACCAAGAAGGTGTGCAAACTTTACATAAATAAAACATAGTGTTTTGTACTTTTTACTAAAATATAATGAATTGTTATATAATTTTTCCTCTGTCCCAAAAAAGTTATCTTGTTTTTTCATTTTTTTCCGTCCCAAAATAATTATCCTATTTTCTTATTTAGTAACAGTGGTCCCACTTTATAACAAAATTATTCATACTTTCCAATGGTCCCACTTTATAACAAAATTATTCATACTTTCCAATCTACCTCTAATTATTTCTTAATTTCCGTGCTAACTCCCAACATGGGCCCGGAGGGAGTAATAAACAAAGAAAGAAATCAAACCTGCCTTAGTCAATTTGTTGCAATCCAATTCCCCTGAATTGAATTCAGAAAGCTTGGCGGGCTTGGCTTAGCTTTCTGTCGAACTTCTTCTTCTTCATCAACAACAGCTGCAAAGCATTCTCTTCTCTTGTGCCAAATATGCAGCCTCTGTATCTCTGCCTTTCCAATCATAACAAAATAAATACAGCCCCAATAAAAATTTCAAAAGAAAACAAATTTAATTCTGGGACTCAGCCATTACCCGTTTTCTAGCTCTGGATTTTGCAGCAGAGTAGACTCCCTCCCTGTTCTTTATCAGTCTCCACTTTTCTTGATTCTCCACATCCCCAAGGATGATTACCATCATCCTTTTCTTCTTCCATCAGCAGCAAAATACAATTACCATATATGTGTGTGTGTGGTAAATTGAATTTATTGGACTTGCAACTATGGCAGAAATAAATGGGAAAGAAGCTGAATAAAAAAACACATCTCATAAAAAAACATATAATGTAGCTGATCCCAATCCATGCAAGAATAGAAGAGGATGTGAAGTTGATTTGCAAAATACAAATAAATAAATAAATAATTAACATAAAATCATATAGCAAAATTCATCTTTACAAATGAATAAAACAATACCCAGCAAACAAGTATAAAACTTGAAGCAAGTACTCAAAAGCCGCACCGCATCGATCGTTTTTCTTTATTTTTTTTTTTTTTTCAAATTTACAATCCATTGCAAAAATAATAGTCCACCTAAAAATTGGTGATTGTGAACATGAACCATGATGTCAGCAACAAAAAAGCCATGTTAGTCAGATTGGCGAAATGAACCGTCTTCAGGGAACTTCTCATTCAGGGCACGCCTCGAACTAAGAAATAGTTTGCTTTGACGTACACCCCTTAGACTGCATTTCAAAAACCTCAGCTATTCCAAAAAGTTTTCGGAATCAGATAGTTATATGCTAATTGCACGAGCTTCTTCCGCTGATTGTTCAGTCCTCTCTGCGTTCATCTCAACACGACCTTCCATGGCATCGTTGTTGCCAATTAAATCAGCTTCAGTATTGTCGATTGAAATTCCCTGTAAGGAAGTTGCCAGTTCATTGTCAGGTGCTCCAGTGATCTGAGAACCAGAATTAGCAAGCCCGTCAGATGGAGGCAGCCACCGCGCCCACTCGTTGCGCCTCCTGACCTTGTCTCCCTAACAAACCAAAAACCAGCAAGAAAAATATAGTCAGACTGCAAGGAAGTATGAGCTGCAAGCACAACATAGTAGATCATAGAAAGATCACATTCCTGTGTAGAACATATCAACATGCATACTGAAAGATTACTAATCAAGCGAAGGTATCAATTAGAAAGAAATGAAGATCTGACCTGCATTTCCACGACTGTAGAATATCTTAAGGATTCCATAACCAATGAAATGTCATTCGTCATTTGCTTAATCTGAAATTGCAAAAAAAACAACATTGATATGTGCATTGGAAGCGGCAAGAGCAATACAAGTAAGTATACAACTGTTTGATCAGTCAATTGCCAAAACACAAGTCTTTCAAAATTCCTCCGTCAACAAACTGAAACCATTATTCATTCAACCGGGACAGGTAGGTGGATGCACACAAAAGGAAGTCAAATAAGGAAAGAAACACAATTAGTTAAAATATGTTTTACAAAAATGAAAACAGAATATAATGTGCTTGGAGGAAGTAATAATAGATAAAATCGAGTTAAACCTAAGAAGTAACATGCAAATACAAACATTAAAACTGAATCATATTTAGTCATGATCACAATTTGCAAACTAGTTAGTCAACAAGTGGATACCTAATAGATAGTATAGGTTATACCAGATAAAATAAAATAAACATTTATGTGGAGTTCTGAACATTTGCAGGCATTTTCAGAGCTCACTCACTTGTCCAGGATAGCATAATATAAATGTTGAGAATTCACGAATTATTTAAGTCTAGACCAAGAGCACAAAATCAGAAATAAAACAGCATTAAGTTGGTCCGATAATTGCGAACAATGAACATTATGAAAGGATGTGCCAATCGCTTTGGGAGTGATATACCATGATCATCATTCACACATCTAGCAATAACTTACTCGCGGGAAGGAAGCTACTAAAGAAATCGGAACCCAGCCTTGGTCATCCATCTTCGATCTCAGGTAGCTATCTCTCATTAAATTATTATCACTGGGCCAATATGAGTAATCATTTCAGTATCGTTTTCTCGTTGAGGCAAATAGCAAATAGAAAATAGCAAAACACAAAAACAGTATAAATCAAATACTCTGGTGCCGAAAAGAAATCTCCTATGGAAATTACCTGAAATAAAAGTCTATCTGCTTAACAATACTGTTTGTTAATGTATTATCAATGGCTGAAGGTGGCACAACTGTCGGAACAACATGGATAGGTCTGAACGAATCCGAAGGAATTGGATAATAAAAAGAAGGCGATCCCACTTCTGAAAGCCATAATTCTTGTTAGAGACAAATTGGTAAATAAATTATAGCATAATCATAAATTCAATACTCACCAAACCCAATTTGTCCGGGAAAAACTCTCATAGCTGGAAGTGCAAGAAAACGTGGAGCTCCAGGGTGCAGAGGAGAAGCTATATAGCTCATGGGAGGAGGAGGCGGTCCATAGGGCAAGTGAGGAAGAACATCTCTACGACTTTGATCACGCCCTCGACCATGATTATTATGGAATTGCGCATCTCTTCGAGGTCGGGGGCCATAACCACCATTCCTTCTCGAATTATTCCTCTGAGAATGTTCGTTTCCTCCTCCGACAGGTCTTGTGCCTCTCGCTGAAGCATCCACTACAGTAGGAACCATGCTATGCATAAATGGCGGTGCCCGGAGAGATGTCTGGTTTAAAGTGTTCGGTGGTGGAGCAATTCCCGCAGGGGTACCTCCTCCTCCATTTCGGTTCCTTGACCTCGGTTTCGCAGAGGTTGTAGCACCACTAGACCTGTCATTCATTGGCCGCTGCGGAGGTTGCGACAATATAGGAGCCTATCAAAGAAAGATCTAATCACATGCTATGCTGATAACAAATGCATTTACAAAACAAATCTCACAATTCCAAATATTGCATGAGAAACAGAACTGTTTTGTCAACATAAATTTACAAAATAAAATACATTAAAAAAGACATGGTGGAGGATTCATCATATCGCATATCTAAAAATCCTTACCTGAGATAAAGAGACAGATCCATCAGCAAGCCTCCTCGAATTATCCGAGGACAATTTAATAACAGGACCGGTTGTCGTCTCCGAAAGTGCAGGCCAGGACCCTGCCCCACCAATTACACAAATAGGATTAGCGGCACCGTTCATAGGCCTTTTCCACGCAGGCCTTCTCTGCCTACCAGCATTGTGGCTTCCCAATGGGCCTTCCGAGCCCGAACTCTCAACCAACACGCTATCTGAACCAGACGGCTGGTCCAGCAGCGCCCGAGATGAAGAACCCCCAGGTGCCACCGAAGAAGCAGCGGCCAACGTAGACGAGTTTTGATCATAATCCCCACGGACCACAGACGCCCACTGCGTGGTAAGGCTCCGCCGCCGCGGCGACATTGGACAACTACTCTCATCTCCGTTCGATGCTACATCGGCGGAAGACGGCCGATTATCAGACATCACCAATACCCTAAAAATCGACCCCCAAGCGAGCGGGGAAGAAAGCAGCAATCTTTTAAGGCAAAAAAGATAGCGAATTCCTTGACAGAAACCAAATGCAAATGCGGGTTGTGATGAGAGAAGAGGATTGGAATGGCGTTTGGGCCGTCAACGGCGATCGTAAACCGAGACTGGAGAGATTTGAGAGCGCCCCTCGCCCACTTCACTGCGGTGGCTACTCTCTAATGTATAAACTACGCCGGTGTCTATGCGAATTACACATAAGGACACGGTACTGTTTCGAATTCCATTTTTACCCTTGTATTAGGGTATATATATATATATGCTATCCGTTAGTCTGTTTGGATGAATTTTAATATAGTCTGATTATTTGGAGATTTGTTACCATGATTATTTAAATTTTTCAAAATATGATTGGTTAAATAATGTTGAGTAAATTTTTAATATTATATTTGAATTATTATATTTTAGTAAACTGTATCTATTAACTTTTGTAAAGAATAGTATTTATATAATAGAAATAAAAAAAATATGTATTTGTGTATTATTAATAAAGTTGGTTATAATAAAAAAAGGTATGTATTTATATATCATTAATAAAGTTCCTTATATATATATATTAATTGTGTTTTATAAGTTTGTTTTTTATATTTAAAGAATATAATTTCCGAAAACACCTTATCATTTGAAATCTTATACATAATTTTCAAAAATAGTTAGTAAATTTAAAATTATTCTTTTGTTTTTGTTGTATCCGCATAAATAATCTGCGGATACAAAGTAAACTCAACTGAAGATGTAATCCTTTTAACAGAGGTTAGAATTGACACAGTATTTTGTATAAATACTAACTGTGGATTCTAAATCGGCAGATTGCCTAACTTTGATGCTATTTTAATCTTTTTCTTCTTTTTTTTTTAATTAAAAAAAGGTAAAATTTTCTAAAATTGGTAGGTTTGTTTATGGATTGAATTTTCGGTTCAGTGTTTTAATATTAAAAATTTAAAATTTAAAAATGGTTTAATACGATATAAAAAAAGATACTAATATAATATTTTGAATATAAATTAAAATTTTAAAATAATATAATAAAAACTAATTATTTAATTATGAATGTGATATATCAATTTTTAAAAAAATTATATATGTTATTTTCACAAAAAGAACACACCCATATTTTGTAAAAAAATAAAATAAAATATTAAATGTTATATTATTTTTAAAAAATATGTAAATATACAGTGCCAAAAACTTTAAAAATATAGAATTTAGTTCCTTACAATTGATTATATCCTATTTATACTCAATTCATCTATTTATATTGTATAATTAATTTAATTGAACAGTCGAGATTTATTCCCTTAAAAATTTTGTTAGAATATTTTAAATTTATCTCATTTTAACTATTATATTCTTAGAATATTAATCCACACAAAACAGTTTGGTAGAATATTTTTTGAAAACAAATAACTATACATTACTGGATGATGGACTAATTACAAAAATATATAAATGTTTACTTGTGATTTTATTTTTTTTGTTTAGACATTATATTAGATATAATATATCTGTATAAAAAATAGTAGTATATATTTATATAAAATCAATTTGCAATTCCAAATTCCAATCCAATTAGCTCACACAAAGTAGCAAGAGACAAGGAATACATACAGTAATACAGATGGATCCTAAGTGACGCAGACGAGATGTTAACCCAGTTCCAATTCGAGCTGCCCTCGTCAAGAAATCATCACATCCATTTCTTGAAACATACCCAACTCCAAACCTTTCTCCTCTATCCTCACCGACGTCGATTGTCGCCCAGATATCCTGCAAACATCGACCAAAATCCAAACTAGAAAACAACTAGTAACAAGGATCAATAACTATAGGTACCTGCCGGTGTTTGTTCTTTAATTTAAATCGAAACAAAAATGTATTTAAACTAAATAAGAAAAGGATCGTTGTTATGCATACCTCCTAGTAGTTTTTAATGGAGAGAGTTAAAACTGTCAAAATCCGAATGCAGTCCTGTGGACGTAATCAGGGCGTTTTTTGGTTGGCATCCGAATCAGCCCTGTTATCTGCAGCTCCACAACTCCACTGCAAAACTCTGCTCTTTATTTATGCATGCAAATTAAGGAATCCCTATTTTCCATACATATGCAGCTGTAATTAGTTTGCAAACAGCAACTCAAACAGAAATAGGCCTAGCACACAATTTATATTAATATAATACAATGTAACATATGAGCTGACAACGTGACAATAGTTTAGTTAGCACGTATCATCATCGATTTCGGCACATATAACACATTACCATAATACATACGGACAACACATGCTAATGATATATAAAGCACATGTTTCAACAACAACCACGTGATATATATATATATCATTACCATGTGCTGCCCGGGACTAACTGATTAACATTATGCTTATTAGTCCCAATTAGCACCATAACCAATCCTTATATATATGTATGTATATATATCATCAGCAGGAGATGAGATGAGATGAGATGCAATTGAAGAAAATGACGCAAGAAGGATACTGGATGGAAGCATCGCCTTTTATCTTAGATTCTGTTTTTTGTTTTTTAGGGGACGGAGATGCTCGTGTCCTTTTCTTGTTGGTATCAGGAGGAGGCTGGCGAAGAACTGCGTTGAATGAGTGGAACCATTCGTGAAGATTGATGAGATCACCGTGCTCTTGAGCCAGGGAATACCTGCACGGCGAATTCACAGGAATTATACTCAATGGGAGATCAGTATGGATGGTTATAAGGATTTAGGAAGAATGGGTTTGCTTACAGTATGGAAGTATGATGCATGGATGGAAGTAACATGCCCGTGTTCTTTCTGCAGCAGGAACACTTAAGAAATTTGTTGGAGTCCAAAAGATCAGCTTGGATTCGTCTTCTCGGGTCTCCTATCAAAGCCTGATGAAGAGAGAAACACAAGAATGGGTTGTAGTATTAGCATGCTGATCACCCGAAGGTAGTAAGTTCTTGTGCCATTAAAAGATCATATCGAAGATCACGTAACTGCTTGAAGTTTGTCGACATCATCGTAGAAGACTACTTCATTGAAGGGAATACTTTCAATTGGCTTGATGTATTGCCTGAGTCATGAACCAAAGATATCAAATCAGGATAGTAACTCGACAAAAATGAATCAACAATAGAATCATCATTAATTGATTCAAACATGAAGAACTTGAGACACATATTGCATAATTTATTCGAATTAGAGATTAGAAACATATGGCTTTCGATTGAAAACTAGGAATCTGATATCAATCAGGGTAACCAAGAAGTTTTTGTAATGGAACCTAGGTATTGAGATTCCTACCTGACCATATACTCCAGAAATGTGGCAACTTTTTCATTGGCAGTGATTTCATCTCTCTTCTGATTTAACCGATTCCTGGATGTCGACCTCCTGCAAGATTGTCAAAGAATGAAGAGGTTGATGAGTTCTAGGAAATTACAAAAGGCAACAACACTAAATTTCCTAAGAAAATACTTTTCTCAAGTTACATCATGGAGGTTAAGAATTGTAGATGGCCAAAATTACAGTTTGCATAGCTATCCAAGGTTCAATATCAAGTTTTTAAACTATACATCAACTGGAGTGGGGCATCAAGAGACCAACTGATATATAACCAAGCATCTCTGTCATCTTATATGCAACTTAGAAGAACCAATGGCATAGTCAGTGGATATGATAATGTAGATTTTTTGAACTACCCTTAACCATCCTTAGATGATATTTAATGCCCAAGATCGCCAAGAAAAACTTGCCAGCATTAATTCAATCATATTATTCGAATTTAGGTGAGGCAACAAAGGAGAAATACTTGGATTGCTCTGCTGGATCACATTTTGCACTCCACTCTAATGTTGTCAGGGATTGTAGCTCCTTTATCTTCTCATGGATCTGGGAAAATCAATTTCACATGCAGATCAGATATTAAATAGTCTCATAAAAGCAAAGCAAAACGCATAAAACCAGGATGCACTTTTCTTATTGGTCTGCCAGGATACAACCTATGTTACATACTTGGATCCTCTCATAAAGCTCCATTCAATCTATTTACTAATTAAATGCTTTAACTTATCAACAGATGCTTTCTCTAGGGCATAGTGCCATTATTCCCCTCACTTCTATACACAATTGAACAATTTATCAATTGCATTGGGTTTGGGACTATTCCCAAACTTTTTCCCAGAACTATTAAATCAAAATCCTATTTTTTATTTAATATACTACACACACACGCTCAAAAAAAAAAGAACTTTTAATTCAAAATGTCATATCAAACATCTATTTATATCACATCAAATATTACTTCAATTCAAATTTTTACTATTATCAAACCCACAATCCAAATCCAAACCTAATACAAACACATCCCTAGAGCTTGAATTATCATTTCTAATCAACAATTTTGAAAACTATGCATAAGTATTAGTTCAGTTAAGTTGTTATAATGCAGAATGCAGCATGATTCATGGTTACAACATTATGATGTGAAATACAGAATCATAAATATGTCACCCCTGAGAATACCTCTTTAATGCCTCTGGTAAGATTTTCCCACCTGCTGAGCAAGTTGCACAGCTCGGCCGCTGGCAAATTCCTGCCAATAGAACTCAAAACTCTGGATTTACAAACTAATATTCTTTCGACAGATCTTATATGTAAGAAAGTCACAGAAAAGAGGAATCAATTTCCCTCAGGTCAGAACATAATAAGATTCTTCCTGGAAATGATTCCCATCAGCATTATAATCTGTGCACCATAATACATCTATTAAGTACATTGCATAGTGTTATTGCCTTTTATTATATTTTACTTTCAGGAACTTGATCTTTCAAGCTATTTCCTATTCCTATATTATGCTGGAACAAGTAAGATCTCGAGGGTTGAATACTTCGTTTCTAATTTAAAAGTGTGAATTTTACCTCACTATCTGGAAGGCCCAAGCAGCATAACTTTCACTTCGAGAGGAGCCAAGCAAATGAACATCATGTGATGATATAGCATTCTCTTTGTTGGTTTGAGTGTGAACAGGAAAACTAGAGTTGGCTGGATCAGATTGGATTATCTGACAATATAAATGCAACAAAGAATTTTTGCGGTGTTTTCCAACTTCGTGCAGGCACTGAGAAGAATTGACAAATACACAAATCAGAAATCCCT